TGTAATTTAACCAAAACTGAGTTAGAATCACTTACCCCAAGCCATATGGTAAAACTCGCCTCAAAAATCGCTTTAATCCGAGCTCCATAGCTCCTAATGTGTTAAAATGGCCGAAACCTAGAAATATATCTTCTGTCCAGGCATTTACTCTTCGCGATCACAAAGCAAAAAAATTTTCAGCCCCAAAATTGCTCTTCACGATCGCAGAAAATGCTTCGCGATCGCGAAGAACAAACTCCCCAACTCTTCCAGACAACCTCTAGTATAATGGTCATAACATTTTGTACAAAACTCCAAATTACAAATGGTTTAACTTTCTGAAAATTAGACATCAACGGCTATAATTTTTATTTGTTACTCATCTCCCAATTCCTTAGAGATTGATAGATATAAGCTTCCTAAGTCAGCCTTGTGTAACAGAGATTTCCAAACTCTTCCCATGACAGTCGATAGTATATCTACCATAACTTTTTGTGCACAACTCCAAATGACAAATGGTTTATATTTCTTGAAACTAGACATCAAGAAATATAACTTTTATTATTGGATCATCTCCAAATTTCTTATAGATTGCGAGATATAAGCTTCCAAAGTCGGGTCAGTGCAGCAGAATTTTCCTCTACGCGATCGCGAAAAGGCTTCTGCGATCGCGATTCACAGTGCCCAAACAGCAAAATTGCTCTTCGCGATCGCGACCATTTGTCCGCGATCGCGATTCATACCTCTGTGGCCAAAAATCAGCAACTAAGAATGGCCTAGAAATGATCCGAAACAACCCCGAAACTCACCCGAGCCCCTCGGGACCTCAGCCAAATATACCAACAAGTCCTAAAATACCATACAGACTTAGTCGAAGCCTCGAATCACATCAAACAACGCTAAAACTACGAATCGCACCTCAATTCAAACCTAATGAACTTTAAACTTTCAAATTCTATATCTTGTGCCGAAATACATCAAATCAATCCGGAATGACTTCAAATTTTGCACACAAGTCATATATGACATAACGAAACTGTTCTAATTTCCAGAATCGTATTTCGACCTCGATATCAAAAAGTCAACCCCCGGTCAAACTTTCCAAAAATTTAACTTTCGGTATTTCAAGCCTAATTCCACTACGGACCTCCAAATAATTTTTCGGACACGCTCGTAAGTCCAAAATTACCATATGGAGCTAGTGGAATCATCATAATTAAATTTCGAGGTCGTTTACACATAAGTCGATATCTGATCACTATTTTAACTTAAGCTTTAAACCTTGGAACTAAGTATTCCAATTCATTCCAAAACCTCACCGGACCCGAACCAATTACCCTGACAAGTCACACAACAACTGTAAAGTAAAATTTGAGCAATAAATAGGGAAACATGATTGTAATACTCAAAACGACCGGTCGGGTCGTTACAAGTTTAGTCCAAGCCCAAATTTATTTTTATTTTTTAGTCCAATAACCTTAAGCCCACACCCTAAAAGTCCAAATTCTGATACGAATTTCCAGAGCTCAATCAAGGTATACACTTCGAATTTTTCAAAGTCAATAGAATCTGTAGTTCTCAAGTTGTCACCTAATTTTCAGCTCATTGCAAAAGCCCAATGGTCAATCTTTCCATATACAAACGATTGACGCTTAAACAAGTTTTCAGTGGTTATTTTTCTCCACGAACAGAAGGAACTATAGTCAAAATTTGGTTGTTTTTCAAGGGACTAATTCTAAAAATACGACTCGCTATTTTATGGTATACTGATTTTATTTTTTTTAACATTCCGAAACTTCTTAAGTCTTAATATTCCATTATGTCGTCGAACACAAGCTTTGATAGGACCAAACTGATGGAGTCCTTGTTGCATGTAATGACTACTATTTATAATTTTAAAATGTTTCAACTATTGGAAGAATTTCAAAAAGAGTATTATTAGGATTATTCATATTGTTATTAGCAAATAGTTTTATATCTGCCTTTGATTTTAATGGAGTTCCAACGTGAACTTAGTGAATTGTTAATGTCAAAATATATCAGGAAAAATGTTAAAATTTATCCTTTTACTTTTGATTATGGTTCAGAATGATCCTCTATTATGTTTCAGCTGGGAGCTCTAGACAGTGAAGATTTCGTTTAGAACGAAACCGTACTGAACCAAAATAAGAAATATTAAACCGTACCGAAATACTTTGGTACGGTATTTAGTATATACAATTGATAAATCGAATACCGAAATACCAAATTGAAATTTTTAAATACCGAACTAAAATATCGAATGTCCACCCCTAATAACAACCATCCAAACAAGGTGCAAGGGCTTCCCCACTCAAGATTTGTACTTGAAACTGGTTTTGCAGGGATCCTGGAGGGCCCCAACTTATAAATTAATATAGTTAGCAAGAATTTCAATTTCTTTGTTTCATGATATCTATTGGGAGCTTTTTAGTTTGAAGATTATTTCAAGTGGAATACTAGTTTTCACTCATAAATTTTTATTGACAAGAGGGGTTGCTCTGATGGTAAGCAACCTCCACTTCCAACCAAGAGGTTGTGAGTTCGAGTCACCCCAAGAGTAAGGTGAGGCGTTCTTGGAGGGAAAGATGCCGTGGGTCTATTGGAAACAGCCTCTCTACCTCATGGTAGGGATAAGGTCTGCGTACACACTACCCTCCCCAGACCCCACTAGTAAAATTATACTGGGTTGTTGTTGTACTCATAAATTTTTATGTTTTGTGATTTTTTCTAAGTAAAGTTCATGTCCATATACCTTGCTCAAACTTTCTTCACTTTAATTTCTAATATTACTCTTTTTTTCCGATTACCGAATATATTTATTGTCTAAAAGCCTACTTAAATTTTTATACTTGAACTTCTGAATAACACCTAAATGTTCTAGTGTCGGTATTCCCTTAATTACGCTTAATTGATGAGTCATCTATTTGTCACTATTCACTAACAATAATTTCAAATAGAAAAGACATTCTCTTATGTTAAACACAAGATATTAGTCTTATGTTTGATAACTAAGTATTTATTAGAACTTTCGAAAGTGACTTATGGAGTTAGGGATCATGACATATTTTGGCATTCGTGAATATGGCCAAATGGTTTCGTGGTCATTTAAATTTGTATCTGTTTGTAAAATTGATACATGAACTTATATTTTTTTCATTTGTACATTCCAACTTGAAAAAATGGGTACTAATAAACACATCCAACAGAGCATGTACATGTACAACACGTCATATACTAAATTATTTATTACTTGACATGTGTTATTTGTGGGTCCCATTTTTTAAATACAAAATCAGCAAGAAATACAAAAAAGAAAAAAAAAGGAAAAACACCTTAAACTTACTACACCAGTTTTAATCTATACACAACCATCCCCTTCTTCTCCATTAACCTCCTCCCTTCCTTTCCTTACTCTTCTTCTTTCTTCTCCTTTCTCTTTTCTTCATTATTCTTTCCTTTCTTATTTCTAAATCAAATTCACAACATCACTATGGTCATGATTAAACCATAACAAAAAAAATTAATTTGAAATTTTAGAAAGAAAAAAAATAGAAACCCATGATTTTGAAAGTAGAGGTCGCCCAATACCATTGCAAATATGCCTTTTTTGCTACTATTTTGGTAAAGATGAATTTGATGATAGTGTATAGGTCAAAAATTGCCTCAGTGGGATTTAGCAGGGAGCGATATTATGAAAAGCGACATGGCCGGGGTCGACTAGTAGATAACAGGGCTCGTAGCCGAGCAGTTAATAACGACCGAGGTCGAGTATCAAGGGTAGTGCTAACGGCTAATTTTTGTAATGGGATATTTAAGAGAATATTCTTTGTACTTTTACTTTTAGGGTTGACTCGAATATGTCCCATATAAATAGAAAAAGAGATAGGGGGAAAGGGCATGTAACATTCCCTCATAAGAACACTTTTTGAGAATAAGACTTTCTCTCTAGAAAAGTTACAAACATTACCTTTCTAAGAAGATTCAATTATCTATTATTCCACACTTTTTCATCAAATCCGAGAATAGTTCCAATATTATAGCATTTGTCTATCACTCATCACTGTCAGAAGAAAGAATCATCCACCTCATTCAATATTGGGTGAATCATTCTCCTTATTTACGTTAATGCCATTTATTCCTATTTAATGCTTGATATTCTTCCATCATTAATCATCTTGAAACATTGAATATACACGGCATTTAATCCTCCCCCAACACTATCCGATTTTATTTGAGTTGACTAGTTATAAATCTGGGGATATTATTATTAACTGGATTTAATCCATTTCCATATAAAATTAATTAATTTAATCAAAGATTTATACTTTTTGGTCAAACAGATAGAACAACGACAAAACTCAAGCTTTCTTTCGTCTACCGGTAATTGAGGGAGGTTGGGAAGAAAATAGTGGATGGAGACTAGCAAATGAAAGAAAAGAAGAAAGATGAAGGAAAAAAGAAATAGAGAAAGAGGAGGGGGAGAGAAATTAAGATAGAAAATGAAAAAAAATACAGAATGGGGGTGGGAGACGTGCTGGGAAGACGAGAGAGGTGGGAGGGGAGGGGAAAAGAGAATGGGAAGGGAAAAGTCCTTTTTTCTTTTTTGTTTTTCTTTCTTATTTATATTTTATTTTAACTCTAATATTTTTTAAATAAAAATAATATTATCCACGCGTTGCATACAGCTTAGCTATGTCAGCTGTACTGCTTTCACATGGGCATAGTCAATGATCAAAAGTATTTATTAATACTTATTTTTTCAAATTGAAACCTTTAAATAGAAAAAGTATAAGTTTATGCATTGGATCTGCAAACTGATGACCGCGAGACCATTTGGCCTTTGAATATTGAATAGCCAACTTTAATGGGTGAAATATTTTATAATTCATCATATATCCACTCATTCTTCCCTTCATATTATTCATATATAGTATCCGTCCTCTTTATCCGGTACAACACACATATCAAAGCGAAAAACTCATTCTCCCCTTCTGACCACCATGTGCACGTTAGAAAAGTCAGGCAACATCTTCTATCTTACGCTTACCGGCGACGATGAGCACCGACTGAATCCTACTCTCATCACCACCATCCGTTCATTTGTAGCCGAAGTTAAATCCCAAGCCGTGAAGGGTTCCGTTCTGATCACAAAAGCCCAAGGCAGGTTCTTCTCTAACGGCTTTGATCTAAAGTATGCACAAGCCGCCGGTTCAGCGCAAGCTGCCAAAGATCGGCTACACAACATGGTGGCCTTGTTCAAGCCGCTGGTCGCCGATTTCCTATCACTCCCAATTCCGACCATCGCCGCCNTTGCTCGTTAAACTTGAGCAACTCATTGAATTTGAAGTCTATCTTATCCGACTTCATATATCTTGCTACACAGCAAATGCCTAATAGTATTATTAATTTATTTTCATTATCATTCTCATAGTCTTATTTTAATAATTTACTGTTGTGCTTTCTGTTAGCACATATATCGAGACCTAAACAGAATTAATTAATTTTTTTTTCAAGAATATTAATTATAAAATAATCAAAAAATATTAATTCCCAAAAGAAAAATGAGGATAAGTTTCGTTGAAACATAGCCAATGCAAAAGCTTAACTCTACATATTCTTAATGAGAATGAGAATTGAAGAAGCAATATGAATGGCTAGAGGACAAGGGAAGAAACCTGCGGGTAGAAAAGCACAACAACATATTTTTGTTGACTTTCTTTCAGTTTACATATTGTAATGGTCCATAAATATGGAATATGAAAGGTTGAAACCACCACAACCATTCTATTTACATTTATAGATAATAAAGTAAAAATATTTTGGTACCCAAATTTTTTATATATAACATTTACATCTATAAATAATCAACTGATTTTAGTTTTACTACATTTCACTAAATAAGGCATTTACAAAACTTGAGAAACCCATTGCACCGGATAGAAAAAGCAAAAAAACACATGTAATTACTCTTTTACGTTACTACATAATTACAACATATTTTTTGCTTCTCCCTTCACATGGAGAAATTAAAAGAAATTACCGAATTACTTGCCACAACTATAAAGTCAATTACCAAATTATTTTAAAAAAACAGTGACATACCTGGTATTATTCTACCAATTTCTGGCTAACCATAGTCTCTTGTTCTCCATTTTTATTTTCACTCTTAATTAGAGAGGGAAGTGAAACAAAGAAAGGCTGAAGCTACCACATCCAAATTCAAATGCAATTGAGGAAATCAAACATGAATATAAACATTGCATAAAAATAATGGAATTAACCTCTTCTACTACCTATCATTATTAGACGTTTAACTTTTAACATGGATTAGAACAACATGTTGAGTGAATCTAAAGTATAGTGCAAATGAAGAGACACTGCTATAATAACCTCATTATGTTCTTGGGGTTAATATGTCATTTTAGTACTCACATCAAAACATAGCAAAATCTTATTCAGAGCATCATGTGTATCATACCCAAGTCGAAAACTAAGAATTTGCATTGAATTAAAAAGAAAGTAGGGGACAGAGAGAGAGCAGAAACAAAAGTCCAAACTAAGAATGATGAGAGAGCAAACGTAAAAATGAAAAAATAATAATAACAGTGTCGGTGTCAGGAGGCCAAAATTAGATCTCCCAACCAAAAATCATAATCATACTACTGCCTCAAGCAAAAGAATTCTGAAGGCTTAATAAACCATGTACCCAGGAAGAAGAGCGCAGTTGTTAATTATGTCCAATGAAGATGGCCACAAAACGATTTCAAGCGTGTCTTTTTAGCTTGTGGGAGTATGTCCTCAAGATGGATTTCTTATGATAAATATTATGATTCGAGTTTTGAATACTTTAGTATGAGTTCATTTTATTAAATATGCTCATTTTAGTTCAACAAATATTGGGCATGTTATGATGCTCTACAAATAGTTCATATTTCATTTTGACCTTTTCTATCACTTAATTTAAAAATCACTACATAAAAATTAAAATTTTATATGTACTTTTAAATTTATTGTTTTGGCATGCAATTTTGCTGTTACTTCTTCCACTGTCAAGTTAGATCAATATTCATCATTTAAATTTTTTTGTATGTTGTTAGTTAAGTTTTATTTGATAACTCAGACATATTTTTTTATGTGAATTTTAAATGTTATGTACTTATTGATAAAGAGAACATGCGCAACGCGCGTGCCCAAAAACTAGTTATTATAAAAGTATATAAATGTTGAACGACAAAAATATTCCCAAAATATTATCGGCTATTATGCCCTTACAAGGCTAAATTCATTCTAAGAGATAATCCATATTGGATAGAATTGTAAATTTAATTTCACCAAATATTTCGAACTCTGAATTCAACTAAACTTCTGCGTACTTGAATTTTGGTCAATCCCCTATGAATTTGAAACCGTTCACAATTCAAGTTGCAATTGTTTCCACTCTAATTTCTCCACTTTTCTTTCTTCGACTATTACAATTTAATAATAATTATGTCGTAATTTTTTGTATACTTTATTTATGTTCTACATAATTGGGTTAAAAATTTAGCATTTTAATGTACTATTTTTCTTATTATTATAAAAGCACAGCATTAAAAACGCTACTTTACCTAATAAATTGTATTACATGGACTTCTAATCTTTATCGAATTCCAATAATTTAGCTATTTGGGATATCATGTCCTACCTATAATTGGAAATTCTAAAAGCATACCAACTCTACAAGTACGGAAGCGATTTTAACAACTCTTACCTCTATTCTTATGAGTAGAAGTCTTATTTAGTACTCCTATCATAGTTAAAGAAAATAAAAGTATTCCTATTAATTATGGGGTTAGCATGAAAAAGATGGTGACCGGATGATTCATAGGTCTAGACGAGGATGATGGTAAAAAAAATCATGTTCCTGGGTAAATCATAGTATTCGAGTCTCTTCAAGCAAGACATAGAATCGACATCGAATACAATTTAAAATGGTAAGAAAAACAAATTTGTTGTATTTAAAAGTAAATAAGAAATTTAGAAGGATAAAAAAAAGGACTTAGATTAGTGGAAGAAACCAATATAGGTGCCATGCTAAGGACAAAGAGTTGTTTAAATAAGCACATTTGATAATGTTTTTACTTCTAAGTACTTCCTTCTTTATTGAATGAATGTTGGGTTGGTTTTTGTTCTGAATTACTCATTATATTTTTGACTGTATATAACTTTAAATTTACTTGACTATTTGACTCTCCCTCCCTCTCTCTCTCTCTCTCTCTCTCTCTCTCTCTCTCTCTATATATATATATATATATATATATATATATATATATCTATGAATGTATGTTGCTTTTGTGTGTAAGTTTTACGTACAGAGTTCTAGAAGAGATAATTATTTATCAAAAGACAATAAATAAATATATTAATATGACAAAAGTATAGCTTTTTAATCTGTCTACGAAGTGTAAGTTTTGTGTTTAATTTTTTATTCTTTTGAATCGATGGAAAAATATTGATAGGCTTTTATACATAGAGTATTATTTTTTTTCTTTTGTCTTCTAATATTTTTGAGTTTTATTGATAATGTGATGTTATTTATTACGATTGTATTTAATATTGTATTTATGAAAACTGTAGAGGTTATATGTATATTTAATCTTATTGTATTTAAATTGCTCTATGAAAACTTTAGAGGTTATACTCAATTTTTATTGTATAAATTGAGGTGAATTGTTTAAATGACTTACGACCATACTTCAAAAATTGCTTCTTTTGGTTCAAAAATTTTGTTTAAAAACTGAAAATTATAGTAGAAAATAAAATTTATTTTAATAAATAAATAATGCATTGAAGATACTTCAAACTTATTAAAAAAAGATCATATCTTCAAACAAACTTATTTCTCGTATATATATTTCCTTAAGTTTAATTTTTTGCTCCTCTATGCAAATAATTCATGACCGGAGATTTACATGCAAAGCACATACATAGAGACTAGTTATTATAAAAATAGAAACCCCAGGAGGTAGAAGTTGAATTACTGAATTGCCCTTTTAAATAACCTAAATAACTTATTTAGGTATTTAAAAATAATATTAAATAATATTTAAATAAAGAAAAGAAAATTTTAATTTAAAGTGCCTCTTCTAAAAATTGTGTTCTTTTATAGAGCAACTACAAGTATTGTATCCCTTCTAAATTAATAAAACAACAAACTTATTTAAAGGGGTGTAATCCTTCAAATAATTAGTCACTAATGTTACTACCGTTTTCTATTTTTTATTTGGTTTGGTTCAATTGCTGCTACTGTTAAATTATCAAACCACTCTTTTTAAATACCCTATTTATTAAAAAAGTTATTTGAAGAGGTGTATTTTGATGTTGAACCATCCCTACCGTTGGCTAAATTTTAAAAAAAAAACGGATTTTAACCAAATAGTTACAACATCCTTTTTAAATTATGACCCAAAGGAGACTTGAGAAGACAAGATTTTGGACACAGAAGCTCCAAACAAAATGAATTATCAGCAAGGTTCTAGGTAATTACTCTTTCTTTTATTCTTGAAGAGAAACATATATAAATTTAAGATCATCTAACAAGATCTGTAAATGGTGCAAGACTCTAAGGTGTTCTAATCGTGTTTATTTTTACATTAGTTTTAAAATTGTACTGAGTGTAAGTACTTGCTTTTTAAATAAATATGTTTAGTATTACTGAACGATATACACGAATAATTATGAAAAAAAAGCTTAAATAAGATATTATTGCACAAACATTAATATATTATCTGATAAAGGTATGTAAAGATTTGTTTTTGAACTCCAATTAATATTTTCTTTTACATTTTTTGATTGTCAAATGACAATTATCCATGTTAAAAAAAACTAAAACAAAAGAAAAATCAAGAGATTAAAAGAAGTAATATAATTATCAATTGAAGCAGAGAAAGAAACATATATTGAAGAATAATAATAGAAGTCTAAGTATACTATAATGGATTAAAAGTTTATATGTCATAAAAATCAATTTAGGAGAGCAATAAATAAGATGGGACGACCAGTTCATGTAACTACTTGGATTCAATAAGTGTATATGGACGATTAATTTGTTATTAAAATTATTACTTTATTCATGTTTAATATGAAATTAAATAAAGAGTATCTACGAAAACGGCAAAAAATCTTGCTACCGGGCAAGGGCGGCTCAAGGGCATTTGAAGCCTAAGGCGAAAGTCAAATGTGAGGCCTAAGTATTTAAATTAAAAAAAAACATAAATGATATGTATGGAGTAAAATTAATAAAATATCAAATACCAAAAAAAATAATACTAGAAAGATATTA